AGGTGCACTTTTTGTCTTTTTACGAAAAGATGTGTAAAAAAGTAGAGAGGTGATGTGATGGAAAAAAGATAAAAAGATAAAAGGATGGATTATATAGGTTATGCCAAACCTAGCCAAGTGTGTGAGCTGCGTGTTCAACATAAAGTATATGGGTTATGTGTCCATCTCAAAGTTCGAGCTGTGTGTTCAACATCAAGTATTCGGGCTGCGTGTTCAGACTTCAAAGACAGTGAGCTGCGTGTTCAACTCTCAACCAGTGTGTGCTGTGTGTTCAGTTTGACTGCCGGTCGGCCACTTTGATTGCCGGTCGGCCATGTGTGGTTTTCAACAGATATCTCTGTAGACAGCTGGCACAGCTATCATTCTAGGCCATACCCCAGCCCATGCCTGGACGTGGGAGTTCAGAGGAGCTGGGGTGGTCTTCGGACCGGGCGAGAGGGGGTGCTCATAGCTGACCTTCCCCAATCGTACCCTAGCTCCCGAGCCGAGACAACTCCGGTGATGACGGACGTGTGGCCTTCGGCACCGAGTCAGGGTTTCCTAAATTTTCCCATTTTAAAAAATATTTAGGTGGCGACTCTGTATCTGGCAAAGCAGTCCATGTTTGGCACTACTTTTTCAAAAATCTGTTTCTCAAAACGATTTGCCAGATTTGGACTCTTTGGTTCAGATTAAGAACCGCGACAACAAAAATCGCGAGTCCGAACTGTAGAAGCGAAGGCCCCCTCACGCGGGCACGTCTACAATGGGGCTTAGGAGGGTTTGAGAGTTAGGCTCAGAAATTTTGTAATAGCCATTATCATTGACTTCCCTTACTACATAAGGACCCTGTCACTTGGGTGTGAACTTGTGGGTTGATGTTCCCCTCATGATGTGAGGTGTGACCCTTAACACTAAATCACCTTCTTGGAACTGTCTTGGGCATACCAGAGTATCATAAGCTCTAGCTAGACGGCTCTGGTAAACTTTAAGATTAGCCTGGGCCTTGTCCCTTCTTTCATCAAGGACTTCCAGCTCTGACGATCTGGAGAGCAGGGTAGTTCCACTTCGGAGGGCCATGCGAGCTGAGGGTATGGCAATTTCCACTGGGAGGATTGCTTTTGGAACACAACTCCAACAGCTCTACGGAAGAACAATTCTCCCAATCGGTCGTAGTAGATCAATTACGTGTATTGACTGAGAGCGTCACCTCTCTTCAACAAAACCAACAACTCTTAATGGATGCCCTACTAGGATTACAAAGGGCACCTACACTTCCATCATCATCTAACCCCCTTTCATCATCACAAAATGGCGCTCTGCCATTAGCCCAAAATGGATATGAAGCTAACCTCGATACACAAAACAACTTGTGAACCCAAGCGGGAGGACAAACATGACCCCGCTCCCTCCATTAGCTCCCAGCCAAATACCTCCACCGCAAGTTGGATCCATTAGCGGAGCTCCCACCGCAGTGGCTTTGACTGGCTCTCCAACTCTTCCGGTGGATCAAAACCCACAACTTGAGAACCCAAGCAGGAGGACAAATAGTCACCCCACTCCCTCCATTAGCTCCTAGCCAAATAGCTCCACCGCAAGTTAGATCCATTAGCGCAGCTCCCACTGCAGTGGCTTCGATTGGCTCTCCAACTCTTTCAGCTGATCAGAACCCTTCCTAGCCATTAACATTGGAGGTAGTAAAAGAGCACGTACACAACCTACTTCAGCCGAACAAAGGTCACATCCCTGCCTCCCTAGAATTGGACTTTTGTCCCCCTTACCCTATTCACTTCGCAAGTCTTCCATATCCGGTAGGATATAAAGCACCCAAGTTTGTCCGTTTTGACGGACGAAAAAGGAACGCCAAGGAGCATGTTTCATGCTTTCTTGACGCCCTTGGAGCTCACTGAAAGGACCGAAACCTCCGCATGGGAGAATTCTCCAAATCCCTCACAGATCAAGCATTCTTGTGGTATACCAACCTCGCTGCTGGCTCTATGTCTTCATGGGAAGACTTGGTAAAAAAGTTTTACATCACGTTCTTCTACATTGAAGAAAGGTTAACCACCCTTCATCTTATGAGGGAAACACAACGACTTGGGAGGACATCCTCATTTATGTTCGCTGCTTTAGGGAAAAAAACAATAGACATTCAAGACCCGATGGAAGAACACCAACTGGTGTCATTGTGCATCGAAGGGATGCTCACGACTTATAAACTTCAGTTGGTCAACCATCATTTCCCTAACTTTTCCGCTCTATGTGTTGCAGCCTGAAACATAAGTGAAACAGTAAGATCAAGGGCATGAATGACAGCACCACAACCCCACTCATGGCGGCCAACGGCACCTCAACCTTCCTCATGGAGGCCTAACCGATGCAACCATGCTGTATATGCAGCCGAAGGCTTCTCTATAGGAAGTTGAGACCTACAGGCAAAAAAGAGAAAGTTTGATCAAATTCCCCCACCGTTACCTATCTTAGTGGACGAGGCACAAGCGCTTCTCAACGCCTGCGTAGAAGATGGAAAAGTTGACCTCCCAGAGCCAAGGCGACCTGTCACCAAAAAGATCAAGCGCGGGCAGACTATTGCATATACCACCGTTCCATTAAACATCCTACTACGGAAAGTTGGGCACTCAGATCCCTAGTTTGAAAAATGATGTTTGACGACGCTTTGGAGCTACCCTGCCAAACAAAAGATGTCTTGAAAGATCCTCTCCCATCACAAGGATAATAGCAAGCCGGTTATGATGCTTTCGCACTATGACGAGATGGAAGGGCCGATGGTGTGCGAGCTCTCTGAACTAGTAGCTCCCACTTGTCCAGACTTTGAGACTAGGCGTGTGATAGCGTTTAAGAAATCAACAAAGTTCAAATGGTTCTTCGACCAATTTGGCCTGTCTGAAGCAACACGCTTTGAAGCCACCAAGGCTTTTTTAAGACTCGTGGTGTAGAATGGTGAAACATGCATGAGTGTAAGCGGATCAATAAGGAAAGTATTTTAAGAAAACTCCTTGGCGATAACCTTTATCGAGGCCGACAAACAAGTACTATTTCCACATAACCGTCCCCTCTACGTCCCAGTATTCATCAATGGGATGGAGTTTCAAAGAGGATTCATGGATGGAGGAGCTTTACTCAATGTAATGTCTTATTCTATTTTCCAGGCAGCTGGGATCCCATAAAAGCACTTAGTCAGACAACCCATCTCCATCACCGGTTTTGGAAGCCAAAAAATCAAAACCATAGGTCATGTCCAGTTAGACTTAGCAGTGGGACCGATCTCCATGTTATAGAAGCAGAGACGACCTATCAGGCTCTCCTAGGGAGAACTTAGCTTCACATATATGCTATGATCCGCTCCACCTACCATCAATGTGTCAAAGCAATCTACAACAATGAGGTAGTAGCCATAGCTGGCTCTCAAAAGCCTTTTTGAGTAGATGAAGCTCACATGGCAGATGTAGTATTTTACAATCATGTCGATGAAGATGAACCTCCCCTGCCACTTTAAGGAACTCCTATACCCAACTGGGATGACCTCTCTGAAGAAGATTCATCACCACCTCGCAGAAAGACATTCACCAAATTAGAGCCCTCAAGAAAGCTCCATAAAGTCACCAAGTTTCAAACAAAAAATGGTAGAGTGGTATACCGTTTATGACGGTACGTGGGGTTGGCAAATGTTACCAATGCTGACCCCCAGCTAGACAAAGCAACAATCGCCCATTGTGAACTAAGTGGAGAAGATCACTGTTGCTACACCTTGTCTGCGCTGGCCTAATGCTCGCCAATGGAAAAGAATAAAAAAGTAGAGACAAGAAGAGTAGAATGAGAAAAAAAGCTGTGGCTTTTCCAGTAACAGATAAACACTTTGACAAATCCTATTGTCTTGTGATAACTCATTTGGATGGAGCCAAAGGCTCAAAAGTTAAACCCCTCGCCAAGGCAGCCGTTTCATCTCCTAACCAAGTCCTCGCCAACCTGGTTGCAATCCTAAAGCAAAATGGATTGCAAGAAGTCCGACCTGCTCCAGAGTGTTTATAGAACGACCCTTGGCCCCAAAAGCAAGAACTGGAAGAAATCAACATAGCGCTTGAAGGACAACCCAGGCGTCCTATCTTCATTTGCAAAGATTTTCCAGTAGAATAAAGGGGGCCCCTCATCGAGTTGATCAAGAAGTATTCGGACGTTTTCGCGTGGACATATGAAGAAATGCCTTGATTAGACAAAGATGTTACCGTGCATCGTTTGAACGTCATCCCCCTGGCTCGCCCAGTCAAGAAAGGGGTAAGATTTTATAAGCCCGAGGTGGAGCTCAACATCAAGGACGAAGTGGTGAAGTTGCTTGGTGCAGGGTTTATCAAACCTATCCAATATCCCACCTGGCTTTCCAACATCGTCCCAGTTATCAAAAAGAATGGTCAAATTCGAGTGTGTGTCGATTTCAGAGACCTAAATAAATCTTTCCTCAAAGATGAATTCCCACTCCCAAACATAGACACCTTGATTGATTCAGCAGCGAGGCACCATATGTTCTCATACATTGATGGCTTCAGCGGTTGTAACCAGATCAAGATGGCTCCAGAGGATGCCCCAAAGATGGCATTTCGCACTCCTATAAGTAACTTTTTCTATACTATAATGCCTTTGGATTAAAAAATGTGGGAGCAACATACCAGAGAGCTATGACGGCCATTTTTCATGATATGTTGCACAAATCCTTGGAATGTTACATTAATGATTTGGTAGTAAAATCCAAAGAGGAGACCAGTCACCTTAGAGACCTCCAAAGAGTCTTTGAACGCTGTAAGAAATACAGACTCCGAATGAACCCACTTAAATGCGCATTCGGAGTCACTGCCGGCAAGTTCCTTGGCTGCACCGTTCATTGCCATGGGATAGACCCCGACCTAGCAAAAGTCGCTGCCATAAAAAATATGCCACGACTAACCAATCTAGACGAGTTGAGAACCTTCCTTGGTCTGGCATCTTACTTGAAACGGTTTATCCCAGCTATGGCTGAAATAACACAACCTTTCAATTCATTACTAAAGAAGGATGTCAGGTTCATTTGGAATAAGGAACATCAACAAGCATTCGAAGGAGTGAAGTCAGCTTTAACTTCCCCTCTCTCCATGAGTCCTCCTCAGCCAGTGAGGCCCTTGCTCCTCTACATCACTTCCACGCCGAAATTAGTTAGAGCTCTGCTTGCCCAGGAAATTGATGGACTCGAACGACCGATGTACTACATAAGCAGAGTCATCCAAGAGGCTGAGATTCGATATTCCCCCATTGAGCGGCACTGCCTTGCCCTATTCTTTGCTGCCAAAAAGCTCTGTCATTACCTTCTTTCTTACCCCATCCATCTCATGACGAGAAGTGATCCCATCCGATTTCTCCTCACGAGACCAGTGCTCTCTGGCAGGTTGGCCCGCTGGCTTCTATCATTAGCAGAATATGACATCACTTGCAAAGCTCCCAAGGCCATCAAGAGTCAAGCGCTCGCCGTCCCCTTGGCTCACTTCCCCAGTGGGGAACATGAGCCGCCTTCGGATGAATTGCCAGGAGATGAGTTCCAAGCTGCTGAAGTAAACACCAAAGGAGAATGGAGTTTGAGCTTCGATGGATCATCCGCCTCTAAAGGGGGTGGAGCTGGAAAAGTCCTTATTTCCCCAAATCAAATTGAAGTCAATTTGTCATATAAACTGGATTTTAAATGCTCTAACAACGAGGCGGAATACGAAGCCCTGATATTAAGGCTTATGGCGGCACTCCATCTAGGAGTAAGTCTCGTATGTATCAAAGGCGACTCTAATCTAGTGGTCAAGCAGACCAATGAAGACTATGCTATCAAAGAGCCCCTTTTGGCTTCATACAGAACCATTGTCCAAAGTTTGACAGACAAATTTGACACGGTAAGGATAGAACAAGCTCCTCGCTCCAACAATCGACACCTGGACACCCTTGCTACCTTGGCTTTTAAGGTAGAATTCCCTGAAGAATCAACTAAGATAGAAGTTCTGAAGTGCCCCATGTCGTGCTCGGTAACAACTATCTTTCCCGAAAAAGAACCCGCCGACTGGAGAGCCCCAATCATCGACGAGCTCCATGGCCCCTCAGGTAAACTACCTTTGTGCAAAATCAAACACTTCACGATTTACCAAGGAGTCCTCTACTACAGAGGGCCTGGGGGTCTACTAGCACGATGCACCGACCTTACCGAAGCCAAGTCTAAACTAGAAAGGGTTCACAACCGTTCTTGCGGAACAAGAGATGTGAGCCTCTACAGGAGGCTACAACGATAAGGATATTATTGGCCTACTATGGCCAAGGAAGCAAACAACCTTCAAGGAAAGTGCAACAAATGCCAGGAATTCCTTCCAAAAGCTGAATGCAATTTCGTAGAAATCACCTTCGACTGGCGTCAGGTGTATATAGATTATCTCAAAAAAGCATCATTGTCGCTAGACCGTTTTGTAGCTGCAATAATCAAGAAACGAGCTCCGAAATTCTTTTTGCAGGAAGGGCAACTTTTTAGGCATGGCTTTGAAGGAAAGCCTGTACGCTGCTTATCAGGAGCAGAAATCCATAAAGTTTTAGAACTTGCTCACGGGTCGGAGCACCAAGGTGGAGCGAAGCTATTCCAACATCTTTTGCATATAGGTTATTATTGGCCTACCATGGAAGCAGACACCAAAATGTATGCCAAACGCTGCAAACCTTGTCAACTCTATGGAAACCTTATTCATGCACCAGCCACCGATCTGTATAGTCCAAGCTCACTACGGCCTTTCCATACATGGGCTATGGATCTTATTGGCCCCATCTCTCCACCGTCAAAGGGACACATATGGATTGTAGCGGCCACGAAGACTTACACTAAGTGGGTAGAAGCCATCCCCCTGAATAAGGCAACAGGAGCCGCTGTCCCCAATTTCATTCGAGAATTCATTATATGTTGTTTTGGTATACCCAGAGTAATCCTATCAGATAATGGGACCCCTTTTGTCAACCGCCAAGTCGGACAACTCTTGGTCTCCTACGACATCACACACCACTAATCAATGCCTTACTATCCCCGGGGGAATGGACAAGTTGAAGCAACCAACAAAACACTCCTTAAAATCCTTTCAAGGACTCTTAAGGATTATCAAAGGGACTGGGCACATGTGTTCCCAATGGCGCTCTGGACATATAGAACATCCAAAAGAAGGCCAACTCAAATGACCCCGTTTTCATTGGTATATGGCAAGAAAGCAGTCCTCCTAGTGGAAATTACCATACCTTCATCTTGCATGGCCCTCCGAAGTGGAACTACCCCGCTCTCCAGACCGTCAGAGCTGGAAGTCCTTGATGAAAGAAGGGACAAGGCCCAGGCTAATCTTAAAGTTTACCAGAGCCGTCTAGCTAGAGCTTATGATACTCTGGTACGCCCAAGACGGTTCCAAAAAGGTGATTTAGTATTAAGGGCTGCACCTCACGTCATGAGGGGAACATCAACCCACAAGTTCATACCCAAGTGGCAGGGTCCTTATGTAGTAAGGGAAGTCAATGATAATGGCTATTACAGAATTTTTGAGCCTAACTCCCAAACCCTCCTAAGCCCCATCAATGCGAAATGGTTACGCTTACTATCCTTAGAAATTATTCATTGCTATACGATGTACTGCACCAAGATGTATTGTGCCCATTCGGGCTTTTTCAATGAATATCGTCATTTTCCACACTTATTCTAACTATAATCACAAATAATAAAAACAAATGCTCTAACTATAAAGTCGGCTCCATTAAGTAGTTGAAGATTTTCAATTACAAAAAAGTTTTAGACTATCATATAAAGCTATCATATGCTACAAAGCTATGATCCAACTAAATCAAATCAAGACTCTGGAAGGTTGATCTTTTCCCTCTTTGGTGTTCTTCTTCACCCGCCAATCTTGCTTCAAGAATTGCTTTCTTTTCCCTCAAGCTGGAAGTCGCCAATTCTGCTTCATTCAAAGCTTTCTGTGCTCGCTTAAAAGATAGCTTACATTCCTCCTCCACTCGCACGGCAGCAACCAAAGCCTTATCTACCTCGCCTAGCTCAACCTTAGTCATCCACCTCTTGACCCGGGATTCAAGAAGAGATAACCAATCATCCAGCCAACCCACCTCCAATCTATTAATCCGACCATCTCGAAACTCGCCCAAAATATCACGTTGGGCCAACACCTCATCAAGGGAAGCTGTCTCTGGGGACAACTTGTAAAGCTCCTTAAAGAATTCTCCAAAACCATCCAAAAAATAAGTCCGAAGATAGGAGCTACTAAAGTGCATGAAAGTGGTGGGTTTATAATGAAGAACAAAGAGTAGTAGAGGAATTAACTCTACTTTTACCCCGGCAAACACCACAGTTGGATCCAGTAGCTTTTCCTTCCCATCGATCCCTTTAAGAACCACACTGCCACGGGGAAGATGAATAGGAGAAAAATCTTCATTAGTAGCATAAATGAGGGAATAATCTCCATCAATAGTTGGCAGTGATGGCTTTTGAAGGCTACCCCCAATATCATTGGCACCTTTCTGAATAAAGCCAAACAACTCCCGTACGAGCACACCACCTATGTCTGAACCAGCTAAAACAATAGATGAATTGACTCCAACTTCAGAAGTCGAAGGAATGGTGGGCACATTACTCTCTAGGCTCACAGAGGTCATAGAAACATGTAAAGAAATGGGTGCAGAAGAGCCAACGCCACATGACAAGCTCACGGATGTATCGCACCTCCAACTCGTGAGCTAAGCACATCATTATGTAAAAAATTACAACCACCTTTAAACAAGCAAGCAATAGGAACACCACCTCCAATCTTGGCTCGCAAAGGAACCAATGCATCCCTAGAATCCGGTGTATCCAACAAAGAAGGCTTGGCACTAACCATGTCACATCCAATATCGTCTTCAACATCATCCCTTTCCCCCATAATTTCAAGACTCTGGTCTGAACCCTCTTCATCATCCTCCGAATTTTTTGCATCATCCTTAGTACTCCCCGACAGTCTATAAGCATAAAGTCTTGCCTTCTTTTTACCCATCTCAGAAGTAGGAACTGTCGAAGGAAAAACACTAATTTTCAGAAGGCACTCCGTCCTCAAATCCATAGTTTTGTCACCAACAACATCAAACCCTTCGAGGGGATCTAGAGGGACTGGGGGGCCACCATCATGAGACCCACCTACACCTGTGGGCAAGGCCTTACGTTGCACCAATTTTATCCGACACACGCCAGCCGACCCTTGCAAACAATACAGGTATTTTAATACAAACGTATTGGAAACGCCATAAACACACGAATAATTTCAAAATACAAAATGCAATTTTAGCTGTGATGAATTAATGGTGTCAGTCGAACGACCCCTCGCTTGGGGAGCAACCCTGGTTTTAGTAGGCAGAACTATACCTCTGACCTTCGGAGGTATTCTCCTAGGCACTGGAACAAGAATAGAAGCAAGGAGCAGCCTTTTATGCTTGGCACAAGAAGAACGGTCAGGAGAAACTATCTGGGCTTGCTCCAAAGCAATAGCCACCTCAGATAAGCAAGCTAGTGGACTGAGTTCTCCCCTATCTGCAGCTAACAAGCCTTGCTCTCTACGAGCCATACATAAATCAGGGTCGTCAGACGGGATAAGCTCTACATGGACGGGCGCAAGATCGCTACTTAAGAAATCTCGAAATGATGCAAGATTGCATCTCCAATACTTCCTCCAACTTGGGGTGGTTCCGCCAATTCTATCCTTACTTGCTAGCACAACTCGACCCTGACGCCGTAATTCTTCTGAAAGAAAAGAGTACACATAAAATTGCATACAATCGACTGCAGAAGGCACAGGGGAAGGAAGATGTTGAGGAACCCCTTGGTCCAAACCAAACTGTCGAGCAACCCTTAGAGGATTATAGGCTACCACATCGTATATGCCATCCACAAAATAAGGTAAATACCCAAAAATGGTACTAAGAACCATCACTGAATCTGCATCCCCAAAATAAGATACACTCGGTTCAAGTACAAGCTCACAATCATCTGAGCAGTAGGCAATGGTAGAAGATACACCATAAACTGGCATGATATAAGGGCGAGCAACAAACTTGTCCCCGAAATCAAAAATGCTGGCCAAACTCCCCTGTACACATCCCTCAGCCCAGTTAGCAGAACGCAGCTCACTTTTTTCAATGGAAAATACCCTTAGCATAGGAGCCAAGCTAGAAAATCTCTCATACAAAAACAACTGCAGAAAGGTAGTAGGGAGGAAGCTAGTAACATCATACCGACCTTTGGAACGATAGATACCCTCCTGATACATATCCAACCCCTTATATAGCCCTCCCCCCCAGAAATAAAGTAGCCAATGGAATCGGACTGCCGGAAGCAAAAATCGCAGCAGGAGGAAAGAGCTCATGACAAATACCATCCTAAGGTCTACCCATCAAGACGTGCCGCAATAACCAATAGGTAATGAAAACAGCTAAATGTTCAACACTTCTTAACTTGTCTCCTTCCATTCCTGGATCTATAAATCCATCCTCTACATTTCCTTGGACCTGATGGCTAAGATCTCGAAACCAGTACCGAAGCCATTCCCCGAAAGTGTTTTTCGGCCGTTTTCATGATCGAGATGTAACCAACACTTTATTCTGATAACGACTCAATAACTCCCTCGCGGGCCACGACCTCCTCCAAACTCCCAACAATAGCCATCTGGTAAAGGGACAAACTTCCTGCGCTAGGATTTGCCGATCCAAGGTGCTCTAACCCCGTCAAAATAACTACATCCTCTAGAGTAGGGGTCATCTCACCCCACTATGCAATAAAAGTGTGAGAGCTCGAACACCAACGTGACAATGCGAACTCCAACCAAGGTGGCTCCCATCTAATCTGCATACACTGAAAAATGGCAATAGCAATTTTAGCTCCAGCAAGCACCTCACAATAAGAGGGATGGTGAAAGATAGTTGTGCTCCAAACATCAAGTCATCTTTGGGCCCCGTATAATCCTCAAAAGTAGGAAAATAATAAGGATAGGTGCCCCTCTCCACATGAAAATGCACAATAGACTCTGGAGGAACAAAAGCCTTAACCCCTTTCTCTGGCTCAACCCCACTGAGAAGAAAATCAGTTGGGCCCCTGCCATTGTCATCAAACAAGTCCACCCTCGCCCAAAATAAATCTATTGAACCAAAGAAAGGTGCTCTACACCAATATTCCGCTGGAGGGACGATTGGGGGATCCGTGTCTATCTTGGCCATACAAAGATTTTTCTTGGATTTA